TCTTACATTTATTAATGCAATAATGATTATGTGTACTTTAAATATTGAATCATTCAATTAGATTCAATATTTAGTTTTTTCCATCATAAGAATTATTTGTCAGTTTAGTTTCTCAACATTCAGCAACATTGTGTGCGTCTGTGCATTTGTGTCTGCTCTTCAGGTCTTATCCTTTTTCAAAAACATGTCTATTTTTGTGAGTTAGCACTAGCTAGCTAGATGCTAGCAACTAAGCTATGGCCAGCTAACATTCATGGTGCAGAGCAGCTTCATGGCAGTTTAAGACGTGATGAATGTTGTTTTGACTGGCAGGCTGGTAGAAAGAAGGGCATGGGAAATCAGAATTCGATATGTTATATATTATTATAGATAATATTTTATAATAGGAACAATAATTTGATTCAATTTTTTTTAGCATATTCCCTCATCTTCCCTTCAATTTGCTGAGGCCACAGCAGTCTGATCCCAAACAGAAGCAGCAGATGAAGAGTTGTTTTTCATGATGTTGACACCTGTGAATCTGTTTGTTCTGGAGTTTTACCTTCAGGCTGTTTTTTTTTTCAAGCAGAGCTGTTGACCTGCAGCTCTCTGAGGACGTTACATCAGCCGGAAGACGCCGCCTCTGTCCCCTGCTGATGCCTCTGTGGACGGTCTGAAGCTCACCATCTTCACATACTGGGAGCAGGCAATCCTTATTTGGGCAAAGAGGACGAATCAGCACATGTGGTGACATGGTAAGAGGGTGCCACACCTGTCACACAAACAGCTCTAATATCTTCTTAATTAGTGAGGTGAAATGATTTCCTAGGAGCTGAACTTGTGTAAAAAAAACTGACTTTTAGTTTTTATATGCACTTTGATACAGTCAGCGCTTAGTGGACGTTAGAGGAACTGCAGTCCAACACACTTATGCTAAGGAGGCTGCTAATTGGTTGCTGTTGGATGCAATATATTAGCATTTGAATATGAATTTTCAAACATAAACAGCTTAACAATGTTAAAAGGATAATTTCTGGAGTTAACAGCTTAAACTTTTGTTGTGACTTGTGATGATCTGAAATCTATGCTATCTGCAAAGCAATAGACAAAATATTTTTACTGTAATATAGTGTTATTTCATTACTACTAATGGGTCATAATGTGTGGAGTTTTGTGAAAATTGTGCCATGGAAAACATGGTGAATGCTGGAATAGCAAATAGTGAATTCATAAAAGGAGACATTATCTGCCCTTGAGAATAGAATGCTGGATGGAACTGCAACACAGCAGAGTTCTCAAATAAGTTAGAATGTTGAGGTGTCATCTTGTGTATGAAGCTCAGATACTGAGGTTAATTGTGCAAATTAACCTCAGTATCTTCCTAAACTTCCCAGAGGACACCTGGACAGCTCTGAGGCTCTGAGGTAGGCCCCGGCAGAACCACTGGTCATAGCATCAGCAGACAGTCAGATTTCACTCTGACAACAAAGCATGGCGATAATGTTTTATAAAGTTATTTTATTCGACTGTGGTCAGGCTTCTTGGGGGGGCTCCCCACCCATCTTAGTTATGCTGGGTGTTCCCTGGAGCTTGAGTGGCTGCCGTCAGCAGAGTGTAAAGATGGTCGGCCAGTCTTCAATGCTACCAGGGGCAGGAAGTCAAACCTTAAAGATCTGTTCTCTTCTGTGCAGTCAGCTGTCATTTCAGTACAAACCGATGTGACCCTCCTCCCCATTCATCATCACACCCGGTGCTCAAGGTTTCTTCCACTGAGGTCAGTCCCACTCAAACATGCCATCATCTAGATCTTCAATCTGCCCTACTGTCTTCAACAACTCCACAGAAGACAGCTGGAAAGCTCTGAGGCAGGCCTTGGCAAACCCACTGGTCATAGCATCTGCACAGTCAGCATGCTGCGTCTGACGACAAAGCACGGCGCTAATGATTTATAAAGTTATTTCATTCGACTGTGGTCAGGCTTCCTGGGGGGCTCCCCACCCATCTCAGTTATGCTGGGATGGTGAACTTCTGTTGACGTGAAGGTCTATCATCTGGCTAATTGACTGATGAACTTACAAGCTTTTCAACCAATTTCAATCGGGTGTTGTCCCATCATATTAGCAGATTCGTGCTCATTGTGTTGAGTAGATTGGGGAGTGTCCTGCAGCACCTCTTAAGACAGGGGTACTCAAGGTCCACGGGTTCCGGCCCGCGGGCCTTGAGTTTGACACCCCTGTCTTAAGAACTGCATTCTGGGAAGACTACGGAGTTACCCAGGTAGTAGCCCTGGCTTCTCGGAGCCAATGCTTACGGTGGGCGTTTGGACTGTGGGGAAGACTCAGTCGCGCTCTTAAGCCCTGCATGGTGATAGGTGTCACTGTGTGGGGCAAGCCAGCGCGGCCCGGAGGACTTGTTCCTCTGGAGCTTGAGTGGCTGTCGTTAGCAGAGTGTAAAGATGGTCGGCCAGCCTTCAATGCTACCAGGGGGCAGGAAGCCTGCGTGCCAGTCTGCCTCAGAGCTCACTTCAGGCTTCCGGTGTGTCCGATGTAGGCTGCTGCGATAATGTACTCTCACCAAACTCCTGTCGTGTAAACCAGTAGCATATCTGACCTGTAACATTGGATTCAGAATAGATTTAGTCCGTTAGCACTTTTCGTAATTTAGCTTAGTATGTTTGGTGCCACTATAATAATTTAAGGATTACCAAATCCCTCCTTGAATATCAAATTGTTAGCATTGATTATTTACTGAGTTAAATACAGTAAAACTTAGAGAGCTTTGCTTATAGGAGGGATATTTTGAAATATAGTATATATAATCATACAGTTGTAAAATAATTAACTAAGTGTGTAAAATGTTGGGATTTACTCTAACCTCCTACATTAGGACAGTGTTTTCATGCTCTCATTCACTCACTCTCTGTGCTTTCTCTCCTCACAGGTTTCTATACCATACAGATGTAACCATACAGATGTTTTATTTATTACTGTTGGCAAAAAATCTAAATGACTAATTATTATGCATTTAATAATTTGTGAATGTTATACATTTAACAGAAGCTCATGTCTTCTGTAGTGTCTAAGGCCTGTGTCCTTGTGTGAACTTTCTCTGACACTAGGTGTCTCAGCAAATATTTAGTCTATTAAGAAGCAGTTGATTGCTGAAAGAACACTTCAGCTGTTTGTCCTGAATAAGAATGATAATAAACTTGTAGAAAGCGTCAATACTTACGCAGGGCTGATTTGCGACCATGATTTACGAGAAAGTGACCTTTGTACCAGAACGAATTGTTAAAGTGTCCAGATACGTAGACGCCTGTGTGAAAAGCAAAATGTGTGTGTGTTACCCTGTGCCAGCCCATTGCATGTTGTTTACTTAGTATAAATACCAGAGACTCGGAGACAGATCTTCGAGCAGTCTTGATGTACATTCTGTATGTGAATCAACTCTGTCTCCTTCTTTGCAAAGAATAAATGTCCTGTGATTTTTACACCAGTCTCGAGTGAATTTTTCAAACAATTACTATTATAGATAAATATACCAGTATCGTATCGTATTTGTGATATTGTATCAAATTCTGGTATCGTATCGTAAGTATCGGGTATCATGATATTTATGGCAGTTATCGTATCGAAGTCATAATTTTGGTATCGTGACAACCCTAGTTGGATGTTAGGCCAAATCCCAATGTCCCCCCTGAACCCTCAAGGACTTACTGACGTCACCTGGTAAGTGGTTGAGTGTGAGAGACTGTGAGGGCTTGAAATGGTGTAAATAGGACAGCACTTTGCTGCAACATATCACGTTACCATGAAAACAACAAACAATATGATGTATAATTGTGGGTATTTATTTTATACTTTGTACTCCCTGATTTGAACGTCTTCCAGGCTCTTTCCTCACAAGATGAGAGGTAATTTCATATAATCTATTTACTCGTTTTGTCAAAACAGCTTCAATGACAAAATCAAATATTTGATGAATAAATAAATATCTTCTGATTTCATGTTTATTTTTTGTTCCATTTTTAACCCTTAATCTTTCTGAGTAAATGTAATACTCCAGGCTGAACACACATGTGCCATCCTCTTTGTTTACCTTTTTTTTTTACGTCTCCATGCGTCCACTGGTTACCACGTGTTTAACATCACATTGCAATGATTTGTGGGTAATTCCCTTAGGCTAAGTCAGCATACCATGCTGACTTACGGAAAGGGTTCATAAAGGGCTCAAAATGTCTGCAAGAGAGCCCTCAAACACTTGACGATTTGACAGTGGGACAGAACTAAACCCTCACGGACTTTGCGGGAGCGCGCCTCAAAGTCTGTGAGTCCGTAAGGGGGGACATTGGGATTTGGCCACAGTCTCATATCTAGCTGTTGGAGTGCACAGTCTACACAGCTGCCTTCACAGAATTGACCCTTCGCTATGTCCCGCCCCTCGAAGACAGACTGGCCAATCGTGTGTGTTTGACTGTCTGAATTCTTATTTCCTGTGCGATCTATACAGTCAGGTCCTGAACATGTTGGTGCATTGAAGTCCCCACACAGAAGTGTCTGGGTGTGTGTAGGGATCTGTAGAAGTCTTCTTAATGGCATGGTGCCTCTGGTGGAGGGCTGTATATTGCATACATATATAAATTGACCTTGCAAATGCCTGTTTATCATGGTTTTTGCCTTGTTTGACAGTTGTGAAAAACCCTGAATATTCTAAAAGAAATATTCTGAAAAAAATAAGTAAATTCAACAAAAACATGGACGAAAAAAAACAAAAAACAAATCTGCTGCAACCAAATGACAGGAGAGTTAATATCTTTACACTAACCTTGTTTTGTGTTTAGTGTGCATCTCTTTGATCACTCCTAGTTGAGACATTGGTGTAGTGGAGGCGGGAGGGCTCCAAGACAATGCTTGGTTTGCAAATAGAGCATCAATTTGCCTATTTTTCCCCTATTTAGGATTTATTTTAACCAAAACTTTAAATATATACAATACCTTGAGTTAATCTTTAAAATTTCAGTAGTTTGGTGAATCATTTGGCCGCAGATAGGAATTATTATAATATGACGTATTGTGCACTTGTGACCTGATCTTTGAATACCTACCAGTTATGTTTGATTTGTTTTTTTTACTGAAGGTCTGAGGCTTCTGTTGAAAATGAATAACAGCAAACACTCACTGAGCAGCGACTCAGCATCAGAAATACAAAGAACGGACTGGTGGCTTATGAATAGTATCCAATCATGGACATTTTACAGACTTTCATTGTAGCATGAAAGAAAAAACAGCATCAGGTTTGGATGATTTTTGGGTGAGACACGAACGTTTGACTGTCACTAAATGTTTTCATGTAATATCACTGATTCAGACAAGACAATTTCACCTCAAATCTTTTTTTATTTAAGCAAATTTTTTCCTCTATGTCGGGCATCATTTTACGGGTTGTTTTTTTCTAGAAAACCTCAGTCCTTTGTCACTGCAGGAGGGGCGGGGTGGTGGAGACGGCTGCTGTAATTGTTCAGCAGGGACACGGCGTGCTAGCATCCTGCTCCACCGTCAGTCCTTTACTCAGCAGGAACGCTTCCTGTTTCGGTTCCCTCCCGAGGAACTTCCTCAGCATCTCGGAGGCGTCCTCGGAGCCGCCGGGTCCCAGGATGAACTTTCTGTAGTCCAGACCCACCTGGAGGACCAATCAGGAGACAGCGATTCACAGTCAGTCAAAATCTACTTTGAAGTGCCTCTGTATCTTTAGGCTAACAGTTTCCCCCTGCTTCTAGTCTTTGTGCTAAGCTAGGCTAAACACCGATATCCATCTGAAACATCTGAGAGGGTTTTCCTAAATATCTTATCAATAACCTGTATTGTTTATATATTTGCTTTTTTTGCACTCTTTCATTCTATGCACTGCCACTGCTGCACAATAAATACACTTTTATCTTATCCCAATAAACACTATAATAACAAAATCTACATTAGAAATGTATGAATTCAAACATTTTGAAAAGATAACATATTAGGGAAAAAGGCTCCGCATGAAACGCAATAAGTTAGTTTCCACCAACATCTTGACAGTCTAAAAGGAGAAAACACTGAATGACAGAATGTTTTAAAGTCGTGTCATTACATACAAGAAATATTACGTTTTTCTGAACCACAACAGAAAACCAGTTTGTTTCTATGTTAACTTCTGTTGCGATGTCGGTGGAGAAGACAAAGTATCAGAGGAGATGGTGGATGAAGAAGCGTGGAGGAGAGAGAAATGAATCATCTCAAACCTGGATTATCATTCCAGTCTCACTCACAACATGTCAAACTGTTTGACATTTGGAGACGGTTTCTGAAAAGATCATTTTCCCCTCAGCTGTCCTGATTCCTGTTGTTCTAATACATGACTGTTAACGCTTTGATTTTATTAACACCGGCTGCTCTAACCAGACCTGTGATCAATAACGTCACGTCCACTGTGGTGGAAGAAGTACTCTGATATTATACCTCTGTTACACGTAAAAGTCCTGCATTCAAAATGTACTTGCATATTAAAGTTAAAGTACAAAAGTTAAAAAGTATTAGCATCAAAATATACTTAAACTACTAAAAGTAACTCATTATGCAGAGTAATAACAGTTCATTACTTTAATGTTGCAGCTGTTAAAGGTCAACTTCTTTACTTTATATCCTGCTGGCTAGTTTGTGAATTTACCCCTGCGGATCAATACATTTTTATCTTAACCTATCATAATAATAATCATTTATTTATTGATTATATGTTGCATTATATATTGGAATCTGCAAAGTAACTAAAGCTGTTAGAAACATGTAGTGCGGTAAAATTTCCATCTGAGATGAAGTGGAGTAGAAGTATTAAGTAGTAGTAGAATATGGAAATACTCAAATAAAGTTCAAATACCTCAAAGTGTGTACTCGGGTACAATACTTGAGTAAATGTACTCAGTCGCTATCCAGCGCTGCCTTTAGTTGCTTGTTATAATTCAGTCAGCTTCCATCAGTTTGTTTATGAGAAATCAGTTGATATTTTCCTACCCATCATACATTTCACCCGCTGATTATTCTCAACAATATTTTTCTCCTCAGCTGACCTTCGGGTTCATGATTCCTTCCTGTTTGAAGCGAGCGAAGAACATGTCCATAGAGAACACCTCACTCCACAGGTAACCGTAGTACTGAGCATCGTAACCGCCGGCCAGATGCCCGAAGGTCGCCGGCATGTTGGTTCCTGCAGAGAGGTCAAAGGTCAGGGAGATCAGAGGATGGAAACCAGGATGCAGTGAGGCTGACGTTTGGAGGCGTGGACTACAAAACGCTTTCATTTGCCCTCCAAAATTATTGTGTTTTTTTTTCCTGTAGAAACTGCTTCATCAGCAGGATTTATTTCCCACAGGTCACACAGCTGCTCCCCCAATACAATGGTAGGGGAAACATACTACCTTCATTTCTGCTGGAATATAAACTTTCAGATCAAAATGTCAGTGCAGCTTCACTGAACTGGTTGTAGTTATATTGTAGTTCTAAAGCGGGCCACTAGGTGGAGCCCCTTTCTGTCTGATGAGATTGACTCCAGCCTGAAGGGCCACAAGCTTGGTGACTGTCCCAAATAGACAGACGTGACTGTCCCAAATAGACAGACGTGACTGTCCCAAATAGACAGACGTGACTGTCACAAATAGTTCGCTGATAAAAGCACTATTTACATGTAGAAGGATTTTACAAAGATGAACAATTTGCTTTTAAATGCTTTAGAAACCGGACATCTTAAAAAAATATCAACATTTGAGTATATATTTTGCAGGACATTAAACATTTGTTTGTTTGTAATGCATTTAATTATTGACTTATTTCTTTAATGGGCTTGTATAAAAGGAAATAAAGTAGTCT